CAGGGAGCCCGATGCGGGACTCGATCCAGGGACTCCAGGATCATGACCTGAGCCGAAGGCAGTCGCTTAACCAACTAAGCCACCCAGGCGCCCCCCTGGCCATCTACTTTTAAACCTGTCCTGTTTCCCAGAGAATCTGGGCTAAGGATGTTTTTTGAGCCAGATGAGCTAGTCCTTTGGGAATGGTGACTGACCTGTGCTTGGCGGGCAGAGAACCTTTGTCGGGACTAACTTTGGGTCAGCCCCTTCTCAGCATTAGTAGTCCATTTCCCCTGCTTTCTAGTAGAACTCAATACTTGGCTTTTTCCTGTGTTTCCTCTCCCAGAACTATCTTGCTGGCTGAAAGCAGAGTAAAGTGGGCATTTTCCTCCATCTCTCTCTTCTCTAGTAGGGGAAGCTCAGGCTGACTCTCTGTTTCTTTTCCCTTCCCAGAATCATTGCGATGATGAGTCCAGAGGACAGCTGGGTCTCCAAGTGGCAGCGAGTCAGTAAGTATCTCCCTTTCTCTTTGTCCTGGCCGAGTTGTGTTGTTGCTGCCCCTTGGGTCTAGTGGGGGTGTCTTAGATCAGAGGGTAAGTGACCGCAGAGTGAAACAGATGGGGTTGTAGGAAACATGAGGAAAGTGTCCTGTGCCCATTTGTGCCTGTGTCGTTTGATACCGGAGCCAAAGAAGTGATTGTTCTTGTCTTAGAGTTGCAGCATTCCTTTGATTTTTAGCTTAAACCTCCATTTGGTCATTACACTTAACACACTCTCACTGCCGTCTCTCTTCTTCTCTCATAGGTAACTTTAAGCCGGGTGTTTATGCAGTGTCAGTCACTGGTCGCCTTCCCCAAGGTAATAATCATCATAGTAGTGGCCAGTCTTCACTTACTGCACCAAGCTCTCTGGAAGTCCTTTGTGGGACTGCATGCCGGTCCTCACCGCTCTGAGGGAACTGAGGCACAAAGAGGTTAAATACCTTGCCTAAGGTCATCCTGCTAGTAAGTGAGGAGCTAGAATTTGAACCCAGGCATTTTGACCCCAGAACCCTTGGTTTTAGCGACTACGACGCGTAGTCTTTTCCTTCTCGTTCTTACCAAGTCATTACCAGACACGTGCCTGGATCTTCAGTGGTAACCAGCCAACCAAGCAGGACTATTGATGAGCTGTGTAGGAACTCCAGTTTGCTTAGGAACAGCTTCCTTCCTTCCTCCCTTTCCCGTCCCCCACCAAAGTGGTAGTAGAGGGACCTTTCTTAACTTCTGGGATCTTCCTCCCTTACAGAGCTTTCTTTTCCTGTGGCAGGAATCGTGCGAGAGCTGAAAAGTCGAGGAGTGGCCTACAAATCCAGAGACACAGCTATAAAGACCTAGCAAGATGCGTGGCTGCCATTGTCTTTCCTCCCCACCTCCTGCATCTGCTAATTTTTTGTTACGGAACTAAATGGACAGAACTTCAGATACTCCCCACCCTCCAACTCTGAGACTCAGCGGACTGTTGAGAGACCACAGCGTGTCTCTGAGCCATTTTACCTTTGGATTGCTGCTGGGGCTGGGGCTGGGGGTGGGGGGTTTGGGCTGGTGGATTAACAGAGACTGAATTGAATGGGGGGTAGGAGACCCAGTCTGTGCCCTTGCCGATGGGTAGGACTCTGGGTCAAATGCCAAATAAACGTGAACCCCTAGGAAAGTTCTTAAGCCCATGACAGATGCCTTGCCTCTTTTCTACCTGGACACAGGAAGAACTCACTTAACCCTGTAAGCACTTTCCCGGAGCAGTAGAGGCCCTCCTGCTCCCCTTTACCCATCTTTCAGCCTTCCGGGGTTACAGCCTATCCAGTGTGCTTCCTTGGGTCTTGTTGGAAGATCTGCTGTCCTGAGTTTAGGCAGCCCCATCAAGCTGGTAGTCCCGGTGTCCGGGGGTTGCAGACTTGCTCTAGACCTGGCACAGCAAGTGTCTTTTGAAAGAAAGCCTGAGGCTTCTCAGTATTCTTTGCCTGTTAACCATATTTAATACTCTTCCCCCCTCTCCCTTTTTTTCTTCTTTTTACCGCTCTTCCTCTGTCTTAGGCCAGTCAGTGGTATCCATGACCCTCGCTTACCCACCTACACACATTCTGCTGCATTTCCTCTAACTGGAGACCCTCAGGTGGCTGCTGGGCCATCATCCGGTTAGATTATGCCTTTGTAGGGCATAAACTCCTTTCCCCCTCTGGCCTAGTAGGGGGTTTTGATATCAGGTTATTGGTCAAGGTGAGTTGTTTTAGAATGAAAAATTTACCAGAAATTCTTTCTTACTTAAATCTCCACAAAGAATCCTATTAATATCCCCATATTGATTTTCTAGGTTTCTTGTTCTCCATCTATAAAACGATAACACTGCCTGTTTACCTTAGTATTGATTATAAAAACGAAGCAATGTGAAAATTCTAGAACTTAGGTTTTATGAAAAGTAAAATTCATTTACTCTTTTTATTAGCCATTCTTTTTTTTTTTTTAAAGATTTTATTTATCTATTTGACAGACAGTGAGAGAGGGAACACAAGCAGGGGGAGTGGGAGAGGGAGAAGCAGGCTTCCCGCCAAGCAGGGAGCCCGATGCGGGGCTCGATCCCAGGACCCTGGGATCATGACCTGAGCCGAAGGCAGACGGTTAACGACTGAGCCACCCAGGCGCCCCTTTATTAGCTATTCTTTACAGTATGTGCACGGTTAACCAAACAGTGGGAGAAATGCCCAGAATCAGCGCTGCAGAATGAGCTCTTGACTCGTTAGCAGAGGTGTGTACACTAGGGCTTTGTGTCTCTTCGCCACCTGGTGTTGCTAGTGAGTCAGTGTCCCTTGTTACCTGTGGCCTGGAGTGTGTGGGAAGGAGGGAGAGGTGCTGATTCTCCCGTGACCCCCTCCCACCCCTGTCCTTGTACGCTCATAGGCCCATGGGAAGGAAGCAGGGAGTGGCCCAGGATGCTCATGTCACTCACAGATCCTCCTCAAACCAGAACCTTCAAGCTCTGAGGGAATGGTCCATCAGCCCCAGTTTCAGCTGAGTTTTTAAAGGCTTTCCTCAGCCCAGCAAACTGAAAGAGCTCAAGGGGTGGTGGTTTCTGTTCAATTTCAATCTGAAAGGATCCTCGGGAAGTAGCCCCAGCAGGCCAGCCTTAGTTCTGGAGGGAAGGTTCTGGAGGGAAGAAGCGGGTTTCGGCAAGAGTGCCTAGGCCAGGCAGCCAACACCCCACTTTCACTGGCTTTTCTCAAAAAGTCCCTTGGAAATCCCCAGCTGCTGTCCTGCGTGTCTGACCCGGACGTGGCTGCTCGGTGAGAATGGAAACAGTTGTGGGGAGGGGAGGCAAGAGGAGCTGTGCACAAGTAACCACACAGGCTGCGTCGGCGCCGCGCCGAGCTGAGCCCTAACTGCTAGCCTCGCAGGAAGCGAAAGACACAAAGACACGGGCCCGATGGTTGTGGGGGAGGGGTGCCCAGTCGGCGGCACCGGATTTCACAGACTCGGTGCCAAGTGGGCTCGGCCTGGAAGCTGCCTCTCGGTTCACTTTCTTGCTTTTTCTGGTCCTGGAAGCTGCTATGGTGCCGCTCGGCAGCCCAGACAGGCCGTAAGGTGCTGGAGTCCACCCGGTGCGGGGAGCCCGAAGAGACTGAAAGAGGGGCTGCTGGTTCTTCACGGCTCCCCGTGAGGGAGCGGAGCGATGTGGACGAGGAGGTCTCGGCTGCCACTGCCCTGCGTGGCACGTCCCTGAGGGCCATGCCCTGCTCCTTGTGCCTGTCAGACGTTCAGGCCCGTTCTGACCACGGAGGCCCCACATCTACCCAGGGTCTTGGTCTCCTGCTCAGTGTTTGGCTTCTCCACCTCAGAAAGGCAAGGCTCCTCCTCCCTAGTTCCACAATGACAGCTGCGAGTCAGGCTAGTGACCGGGCTGCCTTCCCCTTGTCTGCTTATTCCTCATTCTCTTCTTCTTACCCACCACTGCCCGTGGGGTTAAAAAACACACTCCGTGGCAGTTCATTGCTGAATGCAGCCTCCATTCCTGGGCAGTGATTGATGGCTGATGGAACATTCTGGTCTTGGAGGGAAGCTGTTTCAGAAGAGTAACGGGGATGAGCTGGGGAGGAGTAAGCTCAGGCTGGGGCTTTAGGTTTGGCCTCGTTTCCTCTGGGCATGGCCACTACCTTCTCACTCCAAGCCTGTCTATAACCTGCCATTCAATCCTCATGTACCCTCCCTGACACCTGCTCCTGTGAGTGTGTGTAAGAGACAGGTAGGTAATGTTGAAGAACAGACTAGTATCTTACTTTGGAAGTCTGCTTCATGTTTATCAGTAAAACCTTTCATTTAAATGGCATTTTACAGTTGACAAAAGGGCTTTCATGTCCATTATCTTATTTGATCCTCACAAAACCCCTACGTCATAGTTAACATCCTTACGGAGTGAAGAGACTGAGGGTCAAAGTTAAAGTGATTTGGCCATGATCAAGAAGTAGAGCCTGAAGTCAAGAAATACGTTGCTCACACCCAATCTGGGGCTGCTAACTTCTTCCAACATAGTTACCCCGGATGCGGTGGGCTTGCTCCCTTCGTGAGGATTCCACAGAACCAGCATGAGGCGTTAGTTTATTGCTGAGTGAGAGTTACATGTCCCTATACACTGAGTCCCCCGAACACCCTATGCCTACCACTTACATCTCTAGTCCCCAAGTCCACAATTACCCAAAGAGAGGTCGGCAGTGTGGGGAAAGGGTCCAGGGAGGTGATCCTTGGGATTTACTCAAGGATCCCCATGCAGGACATTGGGAAACTGGTCCAGCCCTCCTCTAGTTCCCACCTGGCAGCATCTTCTTTTCTACTCTAGCAGTTCTTAGGTATCTGCTGACCTGTGCCCCGTACTCCCCAACCTCGTCTGTTTTTTTCCTACTCACCACCTTTTGCAGCCCAATTATGGCACCTTCACACTCCACTGGAACACAGACTTGTGATGAAAATATACATACATATCCAATTAGGGGCATTGCCCCTGCCTCCCAGTCACTTTACTGCTCTAAAACAGTTTCCTCTCTATAAAATGCAGCTGACAAAACTCTGCAGGATAGTGGTTACCCGTGACGGGTGGGGGTGGAAAAGGAGATATGAGGGGATCCTGAGGTTATAGTCTGTTTCTTGCTCTGGATGCCAGGTACAGAGGTTCGTTCACTTTCTCAAGATTTATTGAGTTATACACTCACGATTTGCTCACTTTTCTATTTGTATGCTAACCTCAAATAGAAAGTTCACTTAAAGACACAGTGGTCCTGTCTTGGGATCGTTGTGAGAAATACATTAATTTATGTAAAAGCAATCGGAGAGCTGTACACTATTACGTGTATCTAAGGAATCACATTTATCCAAAGTTGTCCACCTCTAGATAAGTTCTAGGTAAGTGTAGCAAGAATGGCATCCCTGTAGTATTGTTGGACAATGGATGTTCCAATACATCTATCATACAGAAATACATCACAACGGACACATTTTCCTTTAAGCACCATGGCTTTTAATTTTAATCTCTCTGTTATCTTGGTTTTTTATGACATATGTTGTTGTTTTTTTTTTATATGTACTTCCTTGCTATTTGGAAACAAGATTCTGGATGTGATTTAACCTCTACTTGGCTCAGTGTCATTGTTAGAAACCTCCATTTTTATATCATGTGGTGAAGTGGTTCTGGGACTGATTGTTTTTCTACCTCTTGGATTCATGTCAGCCTGTCACTTCTGCTGCCCATGTGTGGCTGTCCCCCCTCCAGTCTCGTTTGAGCTAGGAGAACAGATATAGCCACACTTGGTAAAGGTTGCTCTAGGGTGAGCCAGTAAGGCGTAGACTGAGGAAGAAAGCACATGGCTGCCTGCCTGGGCCTTTGGGGCACAGAGGCCTTCACGAGAGTGTTGGGGCTGTAGAGTGACAGCAGATCATACAGAGTGTGAAGGCTGGGACTTAGGCCAGCACCCCCTCCTTATGGGTGAGAAGACTGAGCACCAGAGGCAGTGGTCAACCTGATCCCAAAGGGGTCACTGCTACTTTATTTGTCCTACACTACCCGGCCTGGTGCTTTCTGCCTAGAGATGCTTGGGTTTCTCTTTGCTTTAAGATCCCAGAGAGCAGGAACCGAGGGCAGAGAAAACTGAGGGCTGCCAGCACCAAGATGCCCGATCCTCTGAGAAATGTGACAGAAAACCTCTCTCCTGCAGACCTCTGGCACTCCTATTCTCAATGCTCCCCCCAGAGTGGAGGGCAGGCATTACGGGGTCATGGACAGAGGACTTGGGGGTCCATCCCACAGATGGAGGCCTGGGCCTGTAAGAAGTCAGGGGCCTGGCAGGCCCATTTCAAGAGCTCCTATGTGCTGCTTCCTGCCTGTGCACTCTCCTTCCTCCACCCTGAGCTCTTGTGCCAAAGAGAGAACTTGAGGGAAGGTAAGCAACAGCTTCAGACACCAGGGTGGAGGGACCCCAGTGTCTCTCCCAAATGGATTCCTCATTCTTCCCCACCACCAGCCATTGCCACCCTTTCAACCCCTCCCCCCATGCTGGAAAATACCTGGAAGGAAGTGAGTGCTCTGGGGCCACCAGCCTGAGGAAGGGGTTTAACTGTCACCTGGTCCCTGAGGACTTGAGGAGCAGAGGGCAGAGGGGGGAATGCAAATCGGTGCTGGGAACAGAGAAGG